CCGGAGGATCACAATTTTTTATCCACCATATAGCCTGTAGCGAGGTCGTAAATTTCTTCCCGGCGTTCGATTTATCGCGAGTACGCACCAATGAGATATTATACATCGACACTGGGTGAAACGTTTCGTTCTACGGTCCTGACCACGGGCCCCCCGAGTCCAAATCTGAGTCCGTTTATGTCACTCGGCTTGTCTCGACAGTCGATACGTATCTGTTTCGATGCTCGAAGATATTTACGACCTCGTTATATCGCGGAGGATACGTTACGCAACCCCGACCTCAACAAAACTAATTTCGTTCCTGCGTCTGAACGTTGTTGCAGCAGATAACGCGATAAAATCTTCAAGATTAACACTTTATCGACCGATAGTCGATTAATCGGACTCTGAGAGTCCAATGGTTATCGACTGTTGGCCGATTAATCGACTTCTGGGAGTCCAACAGTTATCGACAACTTGTCCATTAATTATATCGTCGGTAAAGAATTTTTTTCTGGAAAGTGAGTAGGATTTCGAGGGTATGTCTATTCACCAAAAATGATTGATATCGACCCCTGTAACTAAAAATATTTTTTTCAGAACGATTTGAAATTTTTTATTTTGTCGAAAAATTCCTCACCTTCTCGAATTTTTTTCTGGGAAGTGAGTAGGATTTCGGGGATATGTATATTCACCAAAAATGATTGTTATCAACCCCCGCAACTCAAAATAATTTTTTTAAAACGATTTGAAATTTTTTTATTTTGTCGAAAAATTCCTCACCTTCTCGAATTTTTTTCTGGAAAGTGAGTAGGATTTCGGAGATATGTCTATTCACCAAAAATGCTTGAAATTTACCCCCATAACTAAAAATATTTTTTCTAGCACGATTTGAAATTTTTATATTTTGTCGAAAAATTTCTCACCTTCCCGAATTTTTTTCTCGAAAATGCATAAGAATTCGGATGTATGTCTATTCACCAAAAATGATTGAAATGGACCCCCACAACTGAAAATAATTTTTTTAGAACGATTTGAAATTTTTTATTTCGCCGAAAAATTACTGCATTTACGATTAATTGACTTCTGGGATTCGGACGATTATCGACCGGTTTTCATTTCGACGAGATAAATATTAGGTAATATTCTAAGAATTATAACCAACGATGGAATTACAGTACTGTGAAAGAAGCGGTAGACAAAGTGTTAGGCGTTAGGAAAGTAGGGGGGCATCGAATGTTTCGTAGAAGGAACACATGGACAGATGTAACCGGGTATCGTGATTCGAAGCATCAACGCATAAACGCATTAGAAAAACAAGCTACCGTTTCCCCGTAACGTGCACTTTTCGATAGTAGCGTAAAGTGTTGACAGCCGATGGTAGGGTCCTGTCCCCGGACTGCATTTTATTAGGAGCAACCTCCGGTAGTGTCTCTCCGCTTGTAATCAAGCCCGGTACCGCTGGATTTCACGAGAGACTCCGGGTTCACGAAACTGGTCGAACTTAAACGGGCCCCCCCCGCTCAAATGAGTTTCTAATTGCACAGCTGTCGACCGGTCGGAATCGACGGTCGCTCGAGGTGAATAAATACCGAAGAACCCTGGAGATGATTCCTTGATGAGTCGCAATTACCACGGTCCTCGTGGCGATCAAACAGTAAAAAAAATAAACAGAAAATCGTCGATTTCCGTAGGAATACTCTTACAAAATTATCCGCCTCCGGGCCAAGGAATTAATTAGATATCTTGATTATAAGCTACCGAGATGGAAAGTTACCGGATTCGAAATTAATTTCAGTCGCGATTGGATTGAAACCGCTCCCGTTTGTCATCCACGTTGCCTCGAGGTAAGTTCGCGAGTGCGGTTTTACGACACGTGTTATCCAAATTCGAATAGCGAGATAAAAAAGAAGACAGTGATACGGAACTGGGAGCTTTATTGTCTTCTTGGATCGCCATCTATGATGATGCACGAGGAAGGAAGGAATGGAAGATGCAGGTTTCTAAATTGGTGAAACTCTTCTTCGTCGAAGCCACCGATTAAGAAGTGGCGAAGAAAGTCGAAGATATCGTGGTTAACGTCTCCCTGGCAATCACTCTCGCCAAGATTGCTTCCCGATTATTGGCCATAAATTAATATCGAAGGAATAACCACCGTGAGTGGAGTTTCTTCAGCGAGGGGCCTGACCCAAACGTTATCTGGTTGGAAAGGACCGAGCGTTTCGAAGGTCCCGCGAAGCGCGAGTGTCGAGTTCGGATAATAGACGGGCACGACGACGACCTGGACGATCAGAGGAGCGAGAGAGTGACGGGAGGAGGCGACATCAGGCAGCGATAAGGAGCCAGGAGAAACGGATGGTGGAATAGCAGCGGCGGAGGCTGGCCAGAGGGAAGAAGGACGGCAGTTAGGTTATGAATTATGACGCGGTGCGCGAGCGAGAAAGAGGAGCCCGGAGTCTTAGAGGTCGTTACGGGAGAAGTCGGCGGCCAAGGGACAAGAAGAAGGCAAAAACCGTCGGCAACGATACGTAGTATGTAGCCTAGCGAGCACGGGAAGTGGCTGTTCGTGGGTGAAAAAAACGGTTGGTCCCCGCTAAACGAGCGCACCCCTCGACGACGACGACTACCAAGACGAAGGACAACACCGTGGACGATAACGACGAGCGATGGGAGACGCGCGAACCGCGACGAATGACTTTCGAGACGGCCGGCTGAACGAGAACCCGCGTCTCTGCCAGAAACTCCTCACCGCCGGTGCTCGTTTCCGACTCTTCCTCGCTCCTAAAACACGATCAGGACTCGCTTTGGCCCCGCGGCTATACCGCCGCCCTTTTCCATCTTTCTTTTCCACGGTAATCATCATCGACGCGCTGCTATCGTGCCTCCACGGAGCCAACCGCGGTGTTTTATGCCGGGACGATCCTCGCGGACGCGCAACACGGACCGGTAATGCCGATTGAAACTCTGCTCGAGGGACAGGTAGGCGAAATTTAAAACGAGGCCTCGGTGATGATATAAATTCATTCGCGAAGAAAAATTGAAGTTACAGGGTAATGATTCGTAAAATGATCATCTCTGGGGGGTTGGCATGTTCGTTTTTTGTATAGTGGAGCTGAGATTCGACATCAGATGGTTATAAACAGCGATATTATTGAGTTTCAGGGGTTGAATCGTGTATGGGGTTCAATTTACGAATCACGTTATTGTATCAGATCACCCCGATGTTCAGGCGACTTGTTCGTCGTCCTAGGAGCTAGAAACCCCCAAAATACTTGAATCGAGTTTCAGGGGTTGAATCATGTATGGGGTTCAATTTACGAATCACGTTATTGTATCAGATCACCCCGATGTTCAGGCGACTTGTTCGTCGTCCTAGGAGCTAGAAACCCCCAAAATACTTGAATCGAGTTTCAGGGGTTGAATCGTGTATGGAGTTCAATTTACGAATCACGTTATTGTATCAGGTCACCCCAGTATTCAGGCGATTTGTACGTCGTCCTAGGAGCTAGGAACCCCCAAAATACTTGAATCGAGTTTCAGGGGATGAATCGTGTATGGGGTTCAATTTACGAATCACATTATTGTATCAAGTCACCCCGATGTTCAGGCGACTTGTTCGACGTCCAAGGAGTTAGGAATCCCCAAAATACTTGAATTTTGAAAAACTCCTTGATTAGATCGAGAGCTACCCTTCCCCCGTGCATCGTGTGTTAGAGAAATGCTCAGTTTCGATAGACGAGGCGAGGTGTAATTCCTTCGCCGGATCGTTCCTTGTCGGCGGAAGACGGAGGAGAAGAGACGGAGCGAGGGAAGATGCGAAAGAGTGGATAAGAGGACAACAGAGGAGAAGACCGAGAGAGGGAATAAGCTGGCTTGGAGGTAATTGCCGGGGCATCTCTTCGCACCTCATCATCGTCATCAACAGCCGCGTCTCTCGTGGTCGTCGTGGACGAGGAGGGTGGCTCGCTCCGGACCACCCGTTAGCGCTTTGAAGCTGCTCGATTGCCTCGGTTTTCTCTTCATCGAGGATTCGGATTCGGGATAAAGTCCCTTTATCAAGGAGAAACCGCGGTGTCGTTTCAACGAGCTGGAATGTCAAAACGAGAACAGACCCGCGAGCCGCGTCTATTTTTCTTGCAGCGACGCCAGACGTCCATTGTCGTCCACGGGGGATCGTTAGATTCGTGCACAGAGGATTCCGATCGTCGTTCGGAGAGGCGTCGCGTTCGTCGGAAATCGGGTCTCTCTCGCGAAGACTAGGGGCATCGCGACGCCCGTGGAATGCGAACGAGCCCGCGGTGCCGGGCCACACATGACGCGGTCGCCCCTAAACGACTATCGTAAAATACGATAATGCTCGTCGGTCTCTCGCGCTCCGAACGTGGAATCCGTACTTGGACGCGTGGAGCAAGAGGAATCGTCGCGAGGCTAAATCTACGACACGGTGCTCGCTAAATCGTCGCGAGCCAAGCGAGCTAGCGCGTTCAAAGCGGTCGGTGCTCCTTCTCTATCCTCGAGAAACTCGAAATTTCAGCGAGAAAGACGTCGTAACTAAATATCAATCGATCGATCGGTCGCCATTTTGTAGATTCGTAGCTTCTGTATTTTTCTGGTCCAAGGAAAATTGGAGTTGATATAGCACGATTCACGGAAGAAAAGCCTTGGAAGAAAAACCGTCGCTTGTTTCGTACGCGACCGAGTCGGGAGAACGTGGACGCCATTGTTGACCATTTATTTAGGTAAAAGTATGAATAATTGGTGGTGTTGGGGAACATAGATAGAGAGAGAGAAGACGATATGTGCGTTTAAATCGGTAGAGAGGAAACGATTAACCGGAGCGAAAGCTGGTCTCGGGGAACCAGTCCCGAGGGCAACCCGGTCCCCCGTGAAACCGAGGGGGCTGCTATTGCGGCGCGCGAAAAAAACCGGAAGAGAAATAAGAAAAGAAAGAACGAAGGGTGGAAGGAGCGTGAAACGAGCGGAAAGAGTAGCGGTAGCGAGAAACAAAGCGAGACACTTACGAGTTGATTCTGATAGGCGGTGACAGCGGTGAATATGGCCTCCGGGAATATGAAGGTCTTGTGAGGCTCCTTCTCGAGGTCCGTTATCGGCTTGGACGTGCCCGAGTCCGGTCGTTTCACCAGGTGGATCCTCGGCTGGTATTTGTGCATCGAGTTCAACACCAGCTGGAAATCGTATGCGATTTGTCAGAGGATTTACAGGCGGCGCGGTTATCCCCCGACGGAGGATGCATCGGCGAATAAACGTTTACGTTCAACGTGTCCAACGACCGTTCGAGATTTCAAACAGACCCGTCGCGTGCAACCGGCGCGTCTCGTTCCCCGAACCCCTCGAACCCACCTACCGGGTCGTAAACCTCGCGAACAACGGGAAAAATCGACGCTCCGGACGAAGAAAAGGGTGGAGGAAAGGATCGCGTCGAGCCACTCCGTCGGCCCTTCGACACGAAACTCTATAGATCCAACGATACGAGGGGGGGGGTGGGGTCCTGATGGTAGAAAAAGCGTACGAATTAAGGAGCACTCCCGGTGCTCTCTCAGGCATTCCCCGGCTACGCCGTTCAAAAGAATCACTTTGCCTTCGTCTGGCAGCGTGTAACACCCTGAATACCAAATGAGCACCGTGAAGAACCGCTGGCCCGATCGGAGTTCCTATTTACGTCAGTCATCCGACGAATTAAGGACCCCGCCGCCGCCACGGACGAACGGATACCCGGGAGAGTCACGACAGCCCCAACGCCATCGACAAAACCAGGGTGGACGCGGATCTGGTCATCCCCCGGACGCCGTTCTTTCGAGACATGGATATCCGCTTGTTTCCACTGCTGTAAAACTACTAGACTCAAATCCTAACTACAAGGATTTATAAATTTTCGACTCGACACGAAGTCAATTGCATTGCAAGAGAGGTATTGCCCGGCGCAATAAGGACAGGTAACAAGTGGACACCCAGTCGTAAGTCTTTGTGCAACGTCGGGGACGAACTTTGTCGTCGAGGGTACGAGTCTTTGTAACTTTTCCGAGACACGTGGAAGTTGCACAATCGGGTCAATTCTAGGGAACACGTCCGACGTCTTCGCGCTTTCCGCGGCGCTGGTCGCGATACGGTCGATCGAATCGTGGTCTCGTGGACGTTGGACGCGGCTGGAACACGCGAGGATACTTACGTGACCGTGCCTGTCCATGTCGTTGTTGGTGAGCTTGACTTTCTCGAAGGAGACGACCTGCTTTCGTAGCTGCTCGCCCGTAAAAGGCGAGTCCGGGTGGACGTAGAGACGCGCCGGCGCCGGGGGATCGGCCTTCCCAGCCACCAGCCACGAGCTCCTGTGATAAGCGTACCGGTACCTCTTGTTGTCCACCGGGACGATGTCCATCAGAACCGCGTATCGACTGTCCGGCTTCAATCCGTTGAACGACACCCGGCACGTCGGGAACATCCGCCTGAGGAAAGAAACCAAGCTCGAGAAAGACGTCTTGGTTAACTCTGGGTCGAGTATCGACAGTGGCGCGCTTCGACTATCGATAGTGTATCGCTTTGACGAGTCGAATCGAATCGAATCTCTAGGGGTGCATCAGAGACCAAATCGTCGAGTTTGATCGTGGAATACTTTTGGAATTTTTTTTCAAAGAGACGAATGCTACATCAATGAATCGTGGTAGCTATTGGTAGACTCTATATAGACATGAAAAATAAAATAAAATTAGGGGAATAACAGTGGTATACGGGGAGCACCCCTAAAAATCTCGGTACTCCCCCGGATAATCGGTGGTCGAAAACGGACCGTGGCAATTTTAGGGTTAAAGCGGCGACGGGGCAAGGAGGGGGCGGGGGAGTCGAGGGGGCAGAAGAGGACGAGGCTGGCGTGAATGTTTTGCCTCGGAGGCCAAACATTAATACCGTGTCGGGCCCCCCGCTGCTCGACCACTAAAACGCGGGGACACCCGCCGATCTTATCTACGTCTTCTCCTCGGTCCTTGTCGACTCGGTATGCATTCATCCCGCCAGCGCCACGAGTGTGAGTAATGCTTTTATTTATCAAGCCGTCCTTTGTTAATGAATTGAACTCGGCTCGCGGTCGAAGGTGGCCCCCCCCCCTTCGATCCCCTCCCCCGCCACCCGCCCCCACCCCACATTCGGTGGAAACAACCTCTCCCAGTCCCTGAGAACCGTTTCTTTATACGCGCGCGCGCCACGCGGAATCGGGGATACCTTTTCGTCGAGTTCGATCTCGTTAAAGACCCGCGAATATCCCTCCTTTGGGCAACGTTCACGCCCACCTCGCGAGAAAGAGATCCGCGTAGCAGTCGGGGGTGGAAAGAGGGGAGGACCAAGGGAAGGGGATGCTCTCCATTTTGGACTTTGACCCTTTAGTAAACGATAAATTTTCAATATTAAAAAGACTAGGTCCAAGACAGAGGTGGACAATTTTCAAGCCGTGACTTTGTGGATCTTCGAAAGGGGGTTAGTTCAGGGTCCACTTTTACCCAAATCTTAATTTGTTTATATCAAGTTTCTGGACTACTATTAGCGTTAGTCTCGTATTTGGAGCAAGAATTTAGCAAAAAAGTCGAATCACTCCTTTCGTTTTGAGTAGCCTATAGCGTGGTAAAGGGGTCGAGGGAAGCTGTAAAGAGGGGTTTGTTTCGAGGGGGATGGTAAGTTGACGGGTGAAGGGAGCGACGAGCAGCATCGCGACGCAGATCTAATTACTAACGCGCGACTAAGCGTGCACTGTGGGGGCGTTGGAACCCCTTCGGGATAGTAAGGGGCACCGAGGAGGGGCGTGGATGTTGCCGTCGCGGCGGGCAATTAGGCGCGCGTCCGCCGCGTCGCTCCTCCACCCTCCGCCGACGACACCTTACCAGCTACATCCCCCTTCTTCGAGCCCCTCTTACGCCCCATCTAATTTACCCGTCAAGGGTCGTCACTCGCCTCGCCGAAAAACTTTCGAGATTTTATCCTCCGAGTCTATTACGGGACTCGTTCAATAAGACAAACGACCAGTGTCGAAACATCCTCTGCTCGATAAGCGTTATTATTTTTATATACAATTCACCACCGTTCCATCGATCTACCAGGCCTTTTAACCCTTTGCACTCGTATTTATATTTCAGAAAGCTGCCCAATCGACTTGGAGCATTTTTCAAATTTAATCTGAATCTCACCCCCTCGTTATTATTTTCGATACAATTCCACCCCCCATTTCATCGATTTACCAGGCCTTTTAACCCTATGCACTCGTATTTATATTTGAGAAAGCTGCCTTTGACCAGTAAAAATCTATATAATATAAATTTTGATTTTGACATTTTGAAAGATTTAGGAACGCATCGAGTGCGGATATCCATCGTAAAAGTTTTAAAATGATATGCAAGAGTCGACTTAGAACGTTTCCAGCTCAAGGTGCGACACATTTCGGTCCGTCTCAAGGACCACCAGAAACTGGCATAATCACGATCGATTTCCACACGCGTCCCGATTAATTGACCGATGCCCGATATAGCAATTTAACCGACAACCTGCCACCGCGCTTCCTTTTTCGTACCGATTTAATTCACGCCTTGTAATTCCCCCGTTCCGAGATCCAGCATTCAATTTCAACGTCCCGACAACGGATCTGGGTTAGGTGCAGATTTTGAACTCTGAATTATCGGTTTTTCAACGTCACCTTCTTCCAGACGGTTCGCAAATTAATTATTAATTTGTAGTTTATTCGTGTACGAGGAATATTTTTGGGAACCATCTGGCGCAGAAGACGACGTTGGAAAACCGATAATTTGTAGTAGAAAATTCTTTTTCCCCACACGTTCGCCCCCGTTTGATTTACTGGAATTCGATTCTCGTGGAAAGCAGGGAAACGAATTAGCCGGGAAAAGTCGAGAACTCGTTGCGCACCTGAGATTTAAAGCCCCGCTAGGCTTTCGAACGATCGATTTCACGGGTATTGGAATTCGATAAGAGCTCCCAAATTAATTACCCAAACACCCGTCGCGAGTACCACCTAGAAACGATTCGAATCGACGATACGCGATCGGGGGTAGTCGTAACGGCGAACGGTGTCTCACCTTCCGGTCTTCGTGATGATCATCTCGGTGCCCAGCTCGTTGAACTTGTCCCACAAGTCTTTCGTCTCGAGATGACACACCACGTGCCTCAGTTCCTCGCAGTTGGACCGCTCCTGGAGCAGGGGATTCACGGGGGAGGCGGCCTTGCCGCTCGTACTTCCGGTGTCGTCCGTCTCCGGGTCGTCTTCCGCTACGATCGATTCCTGGATCGGCGGAGCGCCGCGGACGACGCCAGAGACGCTCGGTTCCCTCTCTGAAACCCACAGAAAAGCACCACAAATTGCGTTTAAGCTTTCCACAAACACACAGACAGAAATCAGAGGTCAGAGGTCTCAAACAAGCGTGGGTGCTACTTAAAGTTTGTCTCAATACTAATTTTCGTAATTTAAATTCATGGATCTATTTATTTTTAACGTTTCAACTTAGGATTAATTGTTTTGCTTTCATGGTGACATATATGGAGGTTTTCGAAAAAATGAGTTAATGTTCAGAGTCTTGTCAGCGTCGATCAACACCGGAAGAACCCAGTTTCGATGACTCTTGACGAAATTATCGTGGCCAGAGGGGTCGAAGGAAACGACTCGTCCGTCGACGAAAAACGAGCTCCGTCGTTCCTCTCGCGACCGTGTCGTTGGCGGTCCTTTTTTCAGCCTCTGGGCACCAAAATAGTACGTCGACGGAGCCAAGGAGGTTTCCTCGCGTCGAAAGATGGGCAATATTCGTGAACTTTTTTTTATTTCGAGGCAACCACGCCGCGTATCCAGCTGACAACGTTTACGATTCGTACTGGGGTTCGTAGTCTCCCGCCAAAACCGGCGCCATGTTGGAATATGCATCGTCGAGCTTTTTACGACTCTTTTGTGCCCGATTCCGTTCGAGGATCGCTGGTTCGGGGCAATTGAACGTCGAACGAGGCAAAAACGCGGTTCCTTTTTGTCCGAATTTCGTAATTCGAAGAGGTCGTTCGAGAGATGCGATCCTGGCGGAAGACGTAGCACGGGAGAGGAAGGAGGCAATTTAGCGGACGTTTCAGGGCGAGAAAAAAAGACCGTTTTGTTGTTTCTTGCGAACGGGGAGGGAATTGGGGGGGAATAATAGCCGATAAATCGATGTAGCGGCGGTAATTAATTGTTGCGTCGCAGTTATCCGGCGCGAGAGGAAACCTCGTGTTGCGTGCGGATAATCTGGCGAGCATCTCGGTGTATTGAAAGGTTTCCAACTGGAAGCGGTTTGTTGCAACGTAAATACAGAGTCGAACCACGGCCGCGGGAGTCCCCGGGGATGTTTTACGACCAAAACCACCGCCGCGAAAGAAAATTGCCGTTATCGTAAGTGGTAATTCGTAGCTAATGTTCTGCGACGCGCGGCTCTTGCGAGAACGTTCCACGGCAATACAATGAAATCGATTCTTTCGCTAATTACCGGCCGATCCCCGACGCTCGAGTTGCGTAAACGCAATCACGATAGATCCACGATCGAAACGCGTCGTAATAAAACTAAAATAATTTCGCGTTAAACAAATACTATTGGTCGTTTATCGGAGGGAACCGATCGAAGCTTAATTCCGTGACAATGCGTCGTAATGATCCCAGCTGCCATGAAATTATTAAAAATTTCGAGTTCGAAGGAAGGAAGAGAGTCCGTGGATCGGCTAAAATGGCGGCCACAGCCGCGAGACGGATCGTAATCTACGGCGTTTACGAAACGCTCGTGTAATTAATCGATGCCGCGCGATTTTCAAGGATCGTTTGCTGCGTGTTTTGCACGGTGCCGACGCTACCAACGTAATCAAACGAGAGCGACTAAATAGTCGTTCGTCTTTCTCTATCTTAGGATAATAACGCCGTCGCGGCATCGTCGGGCTGGAGAAGGATAATTATCCACTTACGTACGGAGGTTGTTTTAGCTCCGCGTTCTCGCTATTATTATTTATTTCACTTAACCGTGGTGTCGTTTGATAAAACGACCTGGACGTCGCGGAGACGCTCTTTCGAGAGACCTTTGTTGCATTTTCTAACTGCTGGGAGAGAAACCAATCCTTAAAAATTTAGACTGTAGAAACATTGATTTTGGTTTTTGAAACATTGCTGAAGCCATTTTAATGCCATTACAACCATTTGAATAGGATCAAATTTTCGATTATATGGTTTAGAACGGTGCAAGATGAAAATTTTGGCCTCCCCAGAATATTGTACGGTTCTGATGTAGCAGCGAATGTGTTAAGGCGATACGTGTAATTCGCCAATTAGGGCGGTAAACGTTGGAAAATATACGGAATCGTTTACGGAACCCGTAAGTTAAGTAACTCGTCGCCCCATCGGTTATCTGCGACGATCGCCGACCGGCGCGATGAAAATTAAAGGCGGTTATCCGCGGTCGACAGTTTCGTAGGTAGAAATTGCTTGACGATTGCCAAGCGACAGCGGGCGCCGTGAAATCTTAATTATAACTGTCGCCCGAGATAAATAGAGAACATTTTATTCACCGTCGCGTGGACAGCTCGCTCTGGCGACTTCCAGTTTATTACTTAGCACCGTAGGCCTCGGGAAGGACCGACGAAAAATAATCGATCGTCTTGGAGTTTCCGCGGAGAACAAAGGAACGATTAATATCTAGCCATCAACGGGCCAAATTGATCGCTTCCTAACCGCCCATTACCGATTTTATTGCGGTTTCCAAACGGTCACGACGCCGCTCGTCGAATCAACCCTTTCGTTTCCACTTTCGAATTCGAAAACGTCGACGAAAATTTCTAATTATTCCGTGCACGTTCGTAGTCGAATATTCACGAGTACCCGGGGAAGATCGGTTCCGCGTTTAGGCGTCCGGGCGCGTTCGGTACGTTAAACGATTCGCTGATCGATCGTTAGCCGCGTTCCGGGGAACGTTAAAACCGGGAACGAGTTTCACTCCCGACTAATTGCCAATGGAAACGAAACGATTTCTTTCGTGCGCTACGCGCGCGATTAGCTCCGGTGAACCGTGGCGGCAGGTGCGCCGTTGCCCCGATAACTCGAAATTATCGCGAATAAATTAATAATAAACGCCGGCCGCTTTAGCGGTAGCTTTCGCGCGAGATTCTCGGCGTCGGTACCTCCGCGGCCTGAAAACCGTGTGTTTAAAAATTACTTTCGCTCGTTAAAACGATTCTCCACGCTCGCGTTCCTCCCGCTTTTCGACTCATTCTCGCGAGATCGAACGAAAATCAACCCAGGTCGGTCGATAAGTTACCGCTTTACCGGCAGGCTGAATGCAACCTGTCGGTAAGTCGATCGGTCACCAGGGTCGATAAGGTAGCAGGAACTGTTTTATCGATCCGTTTCTAGCGCGTATCGAGACTGTTTGGCGCGGCACAGTTACGTTTGAGGGGTGAAAGGGGGGCAGAGTGGGGCCGGAGGGAATTTTGGCGTAGGCAGTAGCGGCTAATTGGCCGGTCAGGAGAGGTTAGCGCGATCTGTGTGGTCTGTCATCCGCGTATTTTTATTCGACACGGCGAACGGCGGTGTTAAACGACTGACGAAACGGATGACGAGTAGGAGGAACGGTCTCCGTGGCCGCGAGTTTTGCCCCGACTTTCGACCAACTTTACGACCGGCCACGTCGAGTGAGTTACGGTCGCGAGTGCGCGTCGCCCGGATCAAAGACGCGAACCGGGACAGATTGAAACGCGTCCCGCCGCCAACGTCCACCCGCGATCTACGACACCAACGATCCAGCCAGGCCTCTTATTCCTACGTTCGCGCTCCACCCCGCGAATTTTCCACGCGATTTGCAGCCCGCGCGGATATTTACGCGTGATCGTCGTCGCTCCTTTGGCCCGATCCTCTTCCTCGCGGAGCCTCGAAAGGATAAAGGTGCAGCCGGAAGTCTCGCTCCCACAGAGACAACTTTACGACCGAGAAATACACTCGCGGTTACGAGTTACGAGCCTCGTGGCGAGTCGCAGACGCGAGAAAGACCGTCCGTTCTTTCGTGGATTCCTCCAACGAGATCTCGATCGACCGTAATCGATAATCTAGCGAACAGTGTCGAGAAGTAAGGTCATCGGGCACGATGATCGTTCGATCGTTGGAAATTGCAACGTTCGGGGACACGAATTTAATGAATTTCAGTTTGAAAGAAAGTATCGAATTTTAAGCTCGAGGCGTCGCGTTGGAAAGGAAACTTCCGATATTTTCGATTCTGCATCGCGATTATTCTCCCCCCCCCAGAGTACGTGTAGATCTGTGTACGGGATAATGACTCCAGCATTGTATCTAGATCGATTTCAGCTTTCGCGTTGCTCGATAAATCGCCTCTGATCGCGTTTTAATACCCCCGGCTTCGAATTTTGATTACAGCCGTTGCACATATTAACCGGGCTTATCGCTTCTTTCTTGTGCCGATTAATCCTCGAGATTGTCGAAGCGATTGAATTTGGGACGGTGTTACTTCTATTTATTTCGTACGAAATTTCTTTTCCAAAACAACATTGACAGCCTTTCGTTTCGTTCGACGACTCCTCGATATGTAAAATTAAATGCAAGGAGTCGAATGAAAAAAGAAACGGATTATGCGATGTGGCCACGGTGTGAAGTGACGTTATGTTTTTTAACAGATCGAGAACTCGCTGAAATTTCGAACCCGTTTCGACGATTAAACGGGAGCAACAAACGGTGCCTGGACGTCCGATTTAAAGAAAAATTTATGTAGATCGGCCGTATGGCAACCGGCCACGCCGGGCGTTAAGACGTTATCTGATTACTGCAAAGACATTGCGGCCGATCGATCAATCTGTCGACGAGTAATTAAAAGAGGCAACTTGTTTGTTCGCGATACGTAAATTAATCCGACCGTGGCGTGTTTACTCTGAATTCCTCTCGATATAGATTCCCACGCGTTCACCTTTGCCAAACGAAATATTCTTCCCGTCCGCCTGAACAATCATTTCTATTTATTATTTCTATTATTATTATTCATTTATTAACGGGCATTAAACCCTTTGGTACAAAGCTATAATATACAAGGAACTACAGATGTGGATTTACATAGTAAAACACTATCTTAGTGAATTTAACAAAAATAAATTAATGTACAATATGTTGCAAGGATTATTTTAGACTTTCTAATGATTGTTTTAGTGTGTACAAAATTTGCATTACTAATCATTCTATTTACACTTTGTAACTTTCAGAGTAAAATAAAAAGTGATTTCTTAAATATCTAGATGGTAAATACAAAGGAAACGATCGAATAATTTTTGAACACGAAATA